GGCGGACCGTGAGGTCTACTATAGGGAGGCCGATTTTGGTATAGGCTGATTGCCAAAAGGATTTGCCCGTAGCCAGTGGTCTTCGCCCAAGTCGAGGATAGATGAGATCAGGCGGGTAACGAGCGAGAAAAGCGGAAGCCAGCGCTGGCAAACGTTTTATCCAAAGTGGGGTGAGATTGCTTGTGTTTTCCCCCTGGCCAGCTGCGCGCGGTGTTTTTTCAACACCCGCCAGAGGCACAAACAAGCGCCCGGCCTGGCCTGGCATTGCGGGCAGCGGAATGCAATGCGGTGGCACCAACGGCACCCGCTTCAAGCCGCAAAGGACCCCAAGGACCTTCCCGCCGACCATCTCCAAACCCCAACGGCGGCCAACACGCGCGATTCCCAGCGCAGCGGTGAACCCCACCAGATGCTTCATCCCCAACCTTCCGACCTTGCCCGCCTTACATCACCCGTTGCTCGCCTGCATGACAAAACGACTCTGCCTATTGGATGTTTCCGGGAATCCAAATTCCAGAACGAACAAGCAGTCGATCCAGCCGCAGATTTGGGGTTACCAGGCGAGGCCCAGGGCGCACAGTCATGTTACCCCCCCATTGCCAGATCCAACCGAGCAGCATAACAGGCGGAGTAAGATTGAGGTAACCGAACCTCTCTTCATGCGACGTTCCGTGCCTGTTCCTGCGTACCTCGCATGGCCAACGCCCCCTGTCCAAGATCGACGACGGCGCATCTTCGAGTGTGCATCTCGGTGGCGATCAGCCCCGAAGCTGCGCCACTGTCCAACGGCCAGAGTGTAGACAGACCGGCTGCATTGCAAACATAACGTATCATCCGGGCCGGGGCTGGGCGAAGGTGAAGATCAAGAGATCAAGGGCGTTGGTTGGCGATCTGGAACTAGAGCTGGACTCTTATGGCCTCGAGGTCTAGTCTCTTTGAGGCTACCCCTGAATATGATACCGCGTCTGCCCTTGTCAATATCAACATCGCTACGGCTCCAGGGGAACGCCTGTTGCAAGCTCCACCTCCGCCTCCCTCTCCAAATTATCTGGTCCTTTCAAATCAATCTCTTTCTGCCAACATGCTCATCCCATATTCCATTATACGAAGGCTATACTCTCCACATGCAGCCAATCTATCTTCTCCATCTCCTCCATGTGGTCGGCTCCCATTCTGCCGCGGGATCCATCCTATCGGTCGCGTTCCTCGTCCTTTCCCGGACAGCCCTTCCGTGACTAGACCCTGGGAATGCGGAGTTCATGAACGACATCCTCCAGGCACAAGCATGCTGGTGCCTGCCCAGGATTTACTTTATTATGACCTCGCCTCCCTCCCGAGATCTGACCTGACCTTGGCTTCCATGTTCTAGCCCTGACCTCGAACAGGCCAAGTCATCAGTCGAAAATGAAGCTCCTCGGACGTATCGGGGCAACCGCCGTCGCGGCGTCGTTGTGTAAGTTTAGTCGTGAATGTTGACCAAAACTCACATGTCCACTAATACTGACCGTCTATCAAGGCCTCCAAGGTTGCGTGGCGCAGGAGAAGATCGGACAGTACATCGAGCCCGTCCATGGCATCAACTTCACGACCTGGTCTGTTGGTCCTGGGTCGGACCCAGACTCGGCCAGCATTGCGCCTTACACGTTTGGCTTGACGTTGCCTCCTGATGCCCTGACCAAGGACGCTGACGAGTACATTGGAGTTCTCGTAAGTCATCATTGCTTCCCGTGGTATAACCAGCACCCAAAGAGCCTCCGTTGACACGGTTCCCAGCGATGCCAAGTCAGCACGGGTGAGACCCCCGGATGGTGTGGCCTGTCCCATGGTGTGTCCGGAGGAATGACCCAGTCGCTGCTGTTGATGGCATGGGCGCATAACGGATCTGTCTACACGTCGTTCCGGTACACGTCTGGGTACAACCTGCCAGGTCTCTATACGGGCAATGCCACCCTGACCCAAATCTCTTCGACCATCAACTCCACTCAGTTTGAGTTGGTTTACCGATGCCAAGGCTGCCTGTCCTGGAACCAGGGCGGCAGCAAGGGAAGCGTGTCCACTAGCAGCAAGCTGCTCATTCTGGGTCGTGCCGCCGCCAAGGGCGACCTGCAAAACCCCTCGTGCCCCGACAAGGCCTTCTTCGGCTTCCACGACAATGGCTATGGCCAGTATGGAGCACCCCTGGACAATGCGCCCCAGGCGTCTTACTCCAAGTGGGCCGCACTGGCAACCGCCACGCCAACCACTGACTGCTCCCAGTAAGCTCTAAGCAAAAGTCTTGTGTGAAGAAATTGTCTTCGTCGCTGACACAATCGCAGCCTCGTCACCCCAACACCCACGGGTCCGGGCGGCGGTGAGGAGACCAATCCCCCGGTGCCAACTTGCACCGCCGCGCCCACCCAAACTTATGATTACATCATCGTTGGAGCCGGTGCCGGTGGTATCCCCATCGCGGATAAGCTGAGCCAGGCGGGCAAGAGCGTTCTGCTGATCGAGAAGGGTCCTCCTTCGTCTGGAAGATGGAACGGCACCATGAAGCCAGCATGGCTCGGTGGTACCAACCTTACCCGATTCGACGTGCCCGGCTTGTGCAACCAGATCTGGGTGGATTCCAATGGCATTGCCTGCACCGATACTGACCAAATGGCCGGCTGTGTTCTTGGAGGAGGCACTGCTGTCAACGCTGGACTCTGGTGGAAGGTATGTGCCATTACCGCCCTGTTGTTGATGTTAGACTCTAACTAACTTTTGTTATAGCCACACCACAACGACTGGGACTACAACTTCCCCTCCGGCTGGAAGATGGGCAACATTGCGGGAGCTGTCAGCCGTGTGTTCAGCAGAATTCCCGGCACCTGGCATCCGTCGCAGGATGGAAAGCTCTACCGACAAGAGGGCTTCAATGTCCTTGCGAGCGGACTCGAGAAGAGTGGATGGAAGTCGGTTATTCCGAACGACGCATCTAACGAGAAGAACCACACTTATGGCCACACGACCTTCATGTACTCGGGTGGCGAGAGAGGTGGCCCGATGGCGACATATCTCGTTTCGGCGGCTTCGCGCAAGCAATTCACCCTCTGGACCAACACTGCCGTGAGGCGGGCGGTCCGCAGCGGCAGCCACATTACCGGCGTTGAGTTGGAGTGCCTGACCTCGGGTGGCTTCGGCGGTGTCGTGAATGTTACTGCCAAGACTGGACGTGTCATTTTCTCCTCGGGTACCTTTGGATCCGCCAAGCTCCTGCTTCGCAGTAAGTCTCCGACTATGTACCTGATCCCAACGACAGCTTGTGGCAACATTGCTAACATGATTTGAAACAGGCGGTATTGGCCCTGCTGACCAGCTCGAGGTTGTTGCATCGTCCAAGGATGGCCCGACATTCATTCCCAAGGAGGAGTGGATCAATCTACCTGTTGGCTACAACCTCATGGACCATCTCAACACCGACTTGATCGTCACCCACCCGGATGTTGTCTTCTACGACTTTTACGAGTCTTGGCTCACTCCCATCGAGGGAGATAAGTCAGCCTACCTCACCAACCGGACCGGCATCCTCACCCAAGCCGCACCCAACATCGGCCCCATGGTGCGTTTGTCACTCTCTTTCCGAAGTCAAAATTTGGAGGCACCTTGCTGACTTTTCTTCTTCTAGTTCTGGGATGAGATCAAGGGATCCGACGGCATTGTTCGTACCCTCCAGTGGACGGCCCGTGTTGAGGGCAACGACCAAATCACCCCATCTAAGAGTACGTCACCCAGTCTTTGGACAATCAGCCACTAAAAACGGGGATGCTAATCGATTATCAACAGATGCCATGACCCTCAGCCAGTACCTCGGACGAGGTGTGGTGTCCCGAGGCCGCATGACCATCTCGAGCGGCCTTGACACTCAAGTCTTTGAGCACCCGTACCTGCACAACACCGTCGACAAGGAGACCGTGATCCAGGGTATCAAGAACGTGGTGGAGGCTTTGAGCGTGATCCCCAACATCACTTGGGTCCTGCCTCCTCCCAACACCACCGTCGAGGCCTTTGTCAATGGCGTGAGTATTCCTGCTGCACTCCTCAATATCCGATGTTGTTCCTCGTGCTGACGAAACTTTACAGATGATTGTCTCCCCCTCCAACCGTCGCTCTAACCACTGGATGGGCACTGCCAAGCTTGGCACCGATGATGGACGCAAGGCTAACGGCACCGCTGTCGTGGACATCAACACCAAGGTGTACGGCACCGACAACCTGTTCGTGGTCGATGCCTCCATATTCCCCGGAATGACGACTGGCAACCCGTCGGCTGCGATCGTGATCGCGTCCGAGTACGCGGCGCAGCGCATTCTGCAGCTGCCGGCCGGGCCGTCACCACGCAGACACCACGACTGAATTTCGACTTTGGTCTTCGATTCCTAATGGCCTGGCGATCAGTCTAGGTGCACGCCATGTAATAAGAGTGAAAAGGACACGCAAGGGGGACGGGGGGTTTCTGAGCTGTCCTTTGTTTGACTCAGGATGTATGGAAAAACGACAAACTTTTTTGAGTAGCGCTACGGCTACGTATATACATAGGTACCATTCAATGTCCATATTCAATCACGCGAGATGTATGAAAAAAGATCCGGTGATTGGTGTTGTATCACGGGGCAGTGCCAAGTGCTTGGTCTTCGGTTGCTGGTGCTGCAGGCTGCACGACAGATGATTCATAGACTACATGAGTATTCTCCTAGCTACCTCTCGTTCCTGCAACATATATCGACAACAAGATTCTGCGATTTTACTAGACTCTTGTGTTTATTTTAAGTCGACTAAACCAGAGGTCAGGTCACCCTTACACGCATAGTGGAGAACAACCATGCCGGGAGCTCCGGCTAGAAGAGTGGGCTCAACACCACCACCGCATGTGGTCCACAAAGAATGACTCGCCCACCTCCACACACCCCAGCTAGATATAGCAATCCTACGCGTCGACCAGCATCAAACCAGCTACGGTGGATGATCACATCCACAATTCTTCCGTAGTATAGTGGTCAGTATATGAGCTTGTCAATCCTAACAGATCAACTCGCTCGGGACCCGGGTTCAATTCCCGGCGGGAGAGTACGCATTTCTTTTTGCTCTCGTTACTCAACCTTCGTTTTTGTTCCTCATCCCAGATTTGGGCTCGAGAGATCTTGCTGCTGGTGTTGTGCGGAAGATACCGATTTAGGTGGGCAATGGGTGTGGGCCTGCAATGTATTGAAGATGTAAGTCAGGTGTTGCTGTCTTTGAATGATTTTTAGAGCGACAATCTAGAGCGCACTCGATCCGCCGCAAACGGAAGGGTGTTTGGCAACATGTTGCGTGATCCCCCCCGATGCGCAGCCAGCAAGATATATATCCCCCGTTTTATTTCGCTTGGATTCTTCTTCTCCCGTTCAATCACATCATCCACCCAATAAAAATCAACCACTCAACCTAAATTATCATCCCAAACAGCGCCTCACTTCAAACAACATAACCAAACACAATGGCAGAGTACCCAACCCAACCAGCATTCATCGTCAACCCCCAAGGCTGGGACGAGCACCTCCTCCAACACCCCGTCCTCAAATTCATCCACGCACACGAGAAACTCTTCGACGCCCAGCGCTACGAAGAATGCGGCCCCTTCTACGGCCCCGTCTTCACCTACGTGAAAAGCAACGGGCAAAAGCTCACTGGCGAGCAGGGGATCGCCGCGCTGCACTCCGACTACGCCATTTTTGCGGGCCATTACCACGAACCTGCTTACGTGGTCGTCAGTGAGAGTGAGGATGGGGGTGGGTATAGACTTTTTGGGTATGCAAGGATGTTTGTTAATTTGCCTCCTGGTGGTGGTGGGAATGGTAATAATGGGGAGGTAAGGTATGGCGGTGGGGATGTGAATGTGAATGGGAGTAAACTGTGTCGGGATCTGCAGGGAAGAAGGTGGGATTGTGAGGCCCAGGGAGCGTTTATTTTTGACTTTGTCAAGGATCCGGCGGGTCCGTTGGGGTTTAGGTGTAAGTATTTTCAGATTTTGGCGGATCCGACGCCGATCCTGGCGGTGGCGATGGAGAGGGATGCTGCTGGTGGTGGTGGTGGTGGTGGTTCTGGGGCTGGGGTGGGTGTGTGAAAGTTGGACAGTTTGACGTCGGTTTTCTGTCGTGCTGGGAGTATCGTACATATGTTCTTTTTGGGTACTTTCGGGCGTTGAAAATGGGAGTGTGGTGACCAAAAAGTGTCTAACGAATGGCTGGTAATGGAAGAAAAATCGAAATCTCTTGACAATGGGATGAGGAAACAAGTGTTAAGGATTCCAAGGTCTCAAATTCACAATATCAATTTCGAATGTTGCAGCCACTTGATACCACAAGATCTGTAATCATGCAACGAAACCGACGTACACTCCTCCTATTCGATTCCACTCAGCCTCCGTCTGACGACTGGAGCAGTGAGAGGATAGGACACTCAGATGATGCAACATCACCACTCCCCACGAGAATCGCCAAACGTGCTCAGGAGACTAAACTCCAAAGCCGAATCGTCCGCCGCCACCACTCCCTCCTTCGGTGCCTCCTCATACTCATGCTAAAGTTCCATATCGTCAGCGCGCACTCAACCGCCAAAATAGATCAACAGGATCGTTCACTCACAATAACCAAACACTTAGCCGGACCAGGCACACTCTCCGCGTCCTGAGAGTTGTGACCCTCCTTCTTCGGCCGCGGCGGGACAAAGTCGAGTTTATACAAGGTCGAGCAAACCGGCTTCGATTTGGAGCCCTCAGCAATGGCCGCTCGAGATTGCGAAAGAATTCGGTCTTGAAGCCCATGCTCGTCCAGGCCATCGTCACCCTTTTGCTTGATGTCCGAGTCGTCAAGTTGCTTGACGACGATGAACTGTGGGACCCCTAAAGTTGAAGACCAAGCAAGTAAGCAAACAGATCACATCAGCATCTTCGCCACACCCAGAGGAAAACGACATGAGAGCGCAACGACTTCCCCACCCATTCCGCTGAACAATACTCCGGCCCGGAGTCCGGAGTTTCCCATCGCGCTTTTCTCATTGATCCTAGCCCAACAACAAGGCGTAATTAGTTCGTACTCACCAACGTATTCCCCCACCCTGCCCACCCTCTCATAAAACCGAAAATCAAACCTCGCAACATCAAAAATAAACCCCCTCTCCGGCGAGTCGCTCGGCCCGGGAAGCAGCTCATGATGCAGATCCACGCGAAAGAAGCTGCAATCATCCGTCCGCAGCCATGCCGTGTCGCGGACGGGATAGAGCGTGAGGTACGGGTAGTCCGTCTTGGCTGTATCGGAGGAATGGAAGCGGTGAGCCGAGACGATATTTGGCGCGCAGGCGCGGAGAACGTCCGGGATGTGTGCTTCTTCGTACCATTTGCGGTAGGTTTCGGGGGAGAGGGACGGGGAGGAGATGCGGGATTGTACGTAGGCTAGGCCTGCTTTTGGTTCCTTCGAAAAGGGGGAGGACATGGTGGTGTTTGTTTGTTTGGTGGAATGGGGTTGGTTGTGCTGTGTATGTTTGGAAATGCAGGTCAACGGGTGGTGGTGTTTTTATGGTATGGAGGAAGGGGATGAGGTTTGGTTTGTAAGTGTCTCGGACATGATTGGGGTGATGACTGCTTTTAAGCCCCGGGCCGGCGGCCGGTGAAACGGTTTTGCAAAAGGCCGGTCGGAGTTACTTGGCCTTGGTTGTTGATGAATGGGGTGGGGGTATCATGCAGTGTAACAGCCCCTATTTCTCCGAATAAACCTTGAACCTTCGACGTGAAAAGAGAATGGGTAGGTCTGGTCAATTGGTTGTAAGGATGTTTGGTCTGGGTGGAAGAAGACGAACCCGGCCGGGCGATTATATACAGGTCAGTGGCCTGCTCTTGCCCTCTCAGACGACATGTTTTGCTGACGAGGTCAGGGAGGTCCAGTCAGGTAATTAACGGCCTGATATCTAGAGGTAGATACGTGCTCGCGCATGCTATGTAAGTACTAATCGTGTATTTATCTCAGAAGGGCTGTAATATTACAATCGGACTAGGGCTTGCCAGGCTTTATACCTAGCTATCGAAGTCGCTGTGCAGTCCACCCACTTCCATCCCTCCGCTCCGTTACAGACATGGTTCCTCCCAAAACACTGGCAGAATCGCCATCAACATCAAACCCACCTGCCGCCATGCCCAAACACCAATCCTACTGCTGGTAGCGAGGCCGAAGGACCGGTATCTGGTCTGCAGCGAAATCGCTATTTATCCACTAGAACAATCACAGCCAACATTAGTAACAACAAACAGTCAGTCGTGGTCCAATCGAAAGATCCCCACATCTCGGGTTGTCACTCACAGCGTCCAAGCCATTAATATTCCTCACATACGGCGCCCCGGGCCTATCCACCACCCTCCTCCCAACTCTAGGATTCCGCACCGGCGTCGGCTCGCCCACAGCCGCGTCCCACCACAGCTGATGCACCCGTTTCTGCGCCTGCGTCAACGGCCGTCTCCTAATCGCCTTCCGAATAACCCTCTGCACCTCGCGCAGGGACGGTCTATCAGCCGGTCGCTCAAGCATGCATTCCATGACCAGCTTGCGCAGCCTCCAGCTCACGCGGCCGAACCTCTGGTTAAGCAGGTAGGCGCCGTAGGTTATTGGGTTGCGGTTCGGGATTCGTCTGAGGTCGATTGCGGTCGGTAGGGGTCTTTTGGGGAGTTTGGTGAGGGTTATGGCTTCGTACATGACGCAGGCGATTTGGTAGAGGTTGGTTTTGTGCGAGTAGTGCCCGGCGACGTGGACGGGGTGGGCGGTTGCGAGGTGGTAGGCTCTTGGGGTGGTGGTTATGAGCTCCCATTCTTGTGTGAATTGTTCCTGATACCCCGGGTGGCGAGGAGGGACGGTGCAAGTAACTTGGGAGAAATGATATTCTTTGTAAGAGATCTCTTTTGTAAAGCCGGGGCACTCACGGGGGTGGCGAACTCGTGCTTGAACATCCATCTACGGAGCCACATGAAATTTCTATCACAACAGAGCGGGCAACACAGGGGCCCGTTTGCGTCAGCATGGCACTTCAAACGTGGTTTCGTAGCCGTCATGAGCAAAGACTTACGTGTCCGCAAGATTGAGCTGCGTGATGTGGTGCGAGGTGCCAAAGTCGCCGAGCTTCAGGATGGGCACCATGTCATGCGGATAGTCGCGCGCGCCGGCCGCGTCGGCCATGACGGGGTAGTTGAAGTCGCCGACAAAGACGTTGGCCGAGTCGATGTCAAAGTGCACAATGTCGCTGCCCGCCTGCTCGTGACCCCCCACGCGATTGGGGAGTTTCTCGCTGTATGGCAGGCCGTGGTCGCCCCCTGACGCATTCCACTGCTGTTGCGTGTGCCAATCCCGTGGGGGGTATTCCATTGCTATGCAGGCTTTGATTACTGTTGTGCCGTCGTGAGTCGGGTAATCAAGTGGTTAGTAGGTAGTTGGTTGAGCGTCGGTGTTAACGTGAACTTGACTTGACTTACAGCAGTCAAACATGTGCCACAGGATCCGGCTATCAATCAAGTCATCCGGCCCAAGATGCTCCCCCATCTTCTGCAGCACCCGCGCAAAGTACCCTCTTGCACAATGCTCCATGAGTATGACATTCTCCTCTTGGTTCAACTGTAAAACTGGCGGCGCAGGGGGATTCACGCGCGCACGAAACAGGGGTCCTCGGCTCGGCCTCGGCACTTGTCCCTGGGCTATCAGCGCGGCTCGGGCGACGGCTCGCTGATACTCCTGCGACTCCGGATTGACGCCGCCGCCGACGACGGCCCGGAAGTGCGCTCCTTGTATCCCGGGATCCGTGACGACCTGCACAATATGCGCGGCCCGCATCAGCTCCACCATGGCATTCTTCTCGCATAACAGGCTGTTGATCACGGCCAGCTGCCGTTGCGGCGTCCAGTTCGGCTGCAGGAAGTTGGTCTTGGCGACAAAGTACGTCGGCGTCTGGTTCCCGTCCCGCATGTCAAACAGCGCCGTCAGCCCGTTGCCTCCATACCCCAGCGTCCTGACGAAATTGAAACCGTGTGGCTGGAGCTGCATGATGAGATTCCGT